ACATTCACAAGCATTAATCTCAGTTTTTGTTGGTTTTCCCTTCAGTTTCAAGTGCTGTTATTATCACTGCAAACATGGCTAGATAGCAATATTGTCATTGCTGTAAGTGATACTTGTGTATATGAAGGCCATATAGAATCTGTCTATCCAATATAGTAAATGTTCTCATTTCAACTGTTTATATATTCATTGCAATCTGAAGTGGACATACCCAACAAAATCCCTTTATCTCAGCCTCTCTAAACAGTTTCATGGGACTAAAGCCCAAAGGAGAAATGTGGCATGCATTTAGACTATCAAAGTGGGCTGCCTTCAGGGACACTGTAGCTGTGAATACATCATTTTAAATAGGCCTATAGAGATGTTTCCTAGCAGCGAAACTCCTGACATTGAGAGGGCAAATGTTAGACTGGATGATTAGTTTAATTACCAAACTGATGCAATATGTGAAAGTGAGGAACATGAAGTTGAGTTAATTTGGGTCAAGGACAAGGTCACCAAATTAAGAATTAAACTTTTTTTTTTTCGGCCACTTGAATACATTCACAAGTCTTGAATGAATATGCAGTTATATATGATAAAAGAGGAGCAGAGTAACATTGGGTCTGACAATGAATTTTAACTGTAGGCAATCATGTCCATGGCTAAGCTCATTATTCTCAATGCCTTCACCTGTTGCAGAGCCAGCAACCTTCTTTTTTACATTTACATTACATTTAATTATCATTTGTTATATCCTTGTAGCTCTTTGAAAGTTAAGTTTAGTTAGAAAATTGTTACATACAATGCAAATACGTATATACATTTAACTGTACTCAGGTTCAAACTATGCTAACACAGTTGACACTATATGACCCTGTATGATTTACTTTAAAATTCCAATGTGCTATTTTTAACATTGCTATATACTAGTAAAGGATTTATGGAGTAACTTGAAAGTAGCATATGTGTAGCTAGTTCTTGCTCATGAAAGCATCAGGCATCTTGTTATTGCCATATGGAACATTTGTGGATTATTTCCCATCATCATGACAAATGATACATTTGATTATACATGAACAATATACAGTTTTATTTCTCATATGTTTTATTTCCTATACATTTCATTTTTCTTGTAATTAGTTGCCATGTCTTATTTCTCCTGTTGTGTTGGGTGGTTTTGCCGTTCGGTCAGACTCGTAGGTGCTCTGCCTCTGTCTGCCAGCCTTGAAGTTATAATGAGCCTGTATGTTTGTGTGAAAACAACAGAGAATTCCAGTCTATTTTATCCTGTTTTTCTTCAGTACAGGAGGCGGGGAGGACGCTGCTGGTTTGTTTGGTATTGAAACTGACAGAGGGAGCAGATTTGCAACCAAAAAGTAATGAGTCTTCTGAATATCCCATAGCAGGCATATTTTAGCTGTGACATTCATTTAGACAACAAAATGGATCCAAACTACAAGTGACTGATTTTTCTCACCCACTTTCATTCATATCTGATAAAAACTGCTTGTAAAGTCCACTGTATTTCTGTTTTGGAGAGCTGTGGGGGTTGGCACATAAAAGGCAACTGGGTGGAATATAGCTTTATCAGATATTACAAGCAAACCTTTAAAAAGCTTCTAAGGCCACTGTTTACATTGGTGTCAAAGGGGGTCTATTTTTTTTTTCCTTATATGACTTTTCACTACCTTGTGTTTGTCAAAGCCACCCTGCAGTGTTATCATTCCTGTCCATTGTTAATACATTGAAGCTTTTATACGTTCTGTAGTTTATTTTAAAGCTGTCATGGTTAATGGCACCAGCGCACCTGCCCCTTGTCCAACAGCGTGAAAGTTATCAGGCTGTCTTTTATTTCCGCGTATACTCTAAATACCACTTTAAAAGAATGAATGAAGTCTGACTGAACTTTTGATGGGGTCTGTCATTGGGTATGATATTTTGTGTTTAACCAAAACTGCACAAATTCACGCTGCGTAAAGTGACAAATCGTTTGATATGAATAAACACACAGAAGTGTTTCAAGTGTTCAAGTCTTGTTTTGATAGTATAACCTAAAATTACGTAAAATGTTCAACTCGAATTTCCAGGAGTTAGAAAATCTGATAACACAACTCTGTTGAGGGCACAAAAGTATTCTAGTGAAAATACTTTTGAACAATACAATCCATCAATCAGTCAAACTTGTGTGATATACTACAGTGATATAGTAATCTATAGAGTCTGTTTAGTCAGAAAGCAACATGAGTACGTAAATGTGAGACTAGCATAATAGTTTAGTGTTGTTAAGTTTGTAATGTATGGGGTTATAATTTAAATTAGTACAAAGATGTTGAATGTACAATGTAGAATATATAACTGCACAACTGATCAGACTTAAAAATATTATTTAATATTTATATATAATATTATTTGTAGAATAAATTTTGGTCTGGTGCTCCAGTGTCATCTGTCTGTTTAGGTTTTTTTTTGTTTTTTTTAATAATAATAATAATACGGAGACAGTTCAGAGTATACATTATCCTAACTGGAGAGATAGCTGTTGCCAATTTCCTATTGTCTATGGACAGGAGGATGTTAAAGTTAATAAAATCACATTTAATGAAAATGGCACTACAATGGCCTGACCATCATAAAAACAATCTGTAACATCATTCACATTTCCTCTCAGCAGTAGTTCACACTATTCAATTTCCATCTTATTATATTTTTCATATCTTCCAAAGCTTTGCAAATGCCGAAATACAGTCACAAAGATGTGACCTGCAACAGCTAGACTGATCTGCGCAAATATCACTACCTTTTGGCCAGGTAGACACGCTGTGAGAGTGTTATAACATGTGGTCTAGAGAAATGGAGAGTATATAAGCCACTCAGGTGAGCAGCCTCCGTGTCGCATTATCATGGTCTGAGAATGGGTCAAACAAGGAGCAGATAGGCCAGGCTCAGCGGGCACCCAGCACGGGGATCGAGCTGAGCAGCCAGGCAGAGAAGAGCACAGATCCCCGGTCCCAGAAGGCGAGGCGGAGGTGTGGGCTGACAGGCAACAGCAGGCTAGCTCCTACATAGGTGAGACATGCACTTATTGGCTTGGTGGCAGTCCCTGAAGACTTCGGGCATGTACCTGGAAGAAACCATACAGCGCTTTATGTCTTATATAATTGGACTTGCTATTCTATCAGCTTTGTGAAATCCAAAAAGAGCCAATATGACCTGGACATGTTTCCAACCCGGTGCACTAAGCGTATTCCCATATAAATTGACAGTACATGTGTCAACAGATGGCTGATATGTGTAGTCATCTGTGCAAGCTGCGGGCATATTCAGCCCTTCAACACATATAGTAAAGTGTGAACGCACAATGTAAACTCAGATTCTCCAGTGTACTGTAGCAGCCTGGGAGTTGACGGACGCTAAAAGATTAAAGGTATAATGCTGCTAGCTGGCTAATTATGGGCACATCATAAGGGATCAGACTGCCAGTTCTAATCAGCCTCCAAGTCTTCCAAAACATTATCCTAATACAACCAGCTTGGCCTTTAAATGTCACCAAATTGCTTAGTATAGCCTTTAAACACCGTTATCATCTCATAGTTACCGAGTTGAACATTTTAAATTGAGAAAGACAAGTAAATTAGCCATCTTTAGACAGAGACTTTGCCTTATACTCTTGGGTGAATTTACTGTATTTTTAATTTTAAAGGTGTAACAGTAGCCAGGCTGGCACCACATAGTTCCTCGCCTCAGTTTAATTTCTCTCCAGCGAGTAGGTCAGGAATTGGAATACTCTATACACTTTGCAAGAATCCCAGAAGTGCGAATCTGGGCCACAGTCAGTCAGCGAAGAGCCATACATTCTGTGTTGGCAACAATTCCAGAGATCGAGGATTTAAAGTCAGAACAAAGAAAACGGGATTTGGGAAAAGCTTAATATACCATTTAGCCCTGTTAGCGGAGCATTACATACGTCACGAACAAATAGCAGTACCCGCCTACTGTCGAGTGAACGAATCCTAATGCTCCGGGGTCAGACGGTTTCCACGGAGTGAAAGAGGCTGATGAATCAGGCTCGTGTAACAGTGCTGGTCATTTTAAACCTGATGCCCTACCTGAAACAATAGATCTGTCATGATAACACATTTTGAAGTGTGATACATTGCTGAAGTAAATATAGATGATAAATAATAATATTTAAACTGGACCATAAAGTAAAAGTATTCCCAAAAATGTTTTCTAAATGTACAATATTGTTAACTATTTCTAATTTCAACCTTTTACAGCTCAAAACTGGTCATACTGCAGAAACAAATAAAAAAGTTCCCATTACACGGATAAAGTACCCATAATAAATATTGACCCACAAAAATTCTTCTTCTATTTTTCATATATTGAATGATAGGTTGATAGAATAGTTGATAGTATTTATCATGACAGGCCTACAAAATAACCAGGTTTGCTGCTTGTGAGCTGTGGGGATTCTGTGTGATTTTAGATTGTATCACTGTAAAAAATACTACTGACATGTTCGAAAGGGTTCTGCTCTTAAGCTATAGGAATGATTTATTAAGCCCAAGTCACAACTGTCATCTTCAAATTGATACAGCTGCAAATAACATACGGCTCAATGTTTTCTCTGTAAATATTTTCTCAATTTTGCCACATCCAACTGATGGGATGAGCATATGTTAAAAGTACATTTCTGCAGCTGTTTCCAAGAAAAGTCAACAGTGGAGAAGTGTTGGATGCCAATCGTAAGCAGACACTCATTATTCGGCCTCACTTTGAAACGTGATACATAGCTCTTGCTCAGTTTATAGTCGGCTTGTCTGGCCTCCCCTGACCGGTGGCCAGCAGGCTGGCGAGGGAATTCCACCCAGCAATGCCCAGCTTCTTAAACGGTCACAACGGTCAAGGATAACTGCTGCTCAACCATTTGTTACATCTGCTTTTAACCAACAAACATGTATATAGATAGTGCGAGTGCTGACAGGCTTGTTGATTTGTTTCTTTGTGTTTTTCAGGCTGACGACGAATGTGTCAAAGGTGCTCAGGTAACTTAATTAAGACTGTACTGTTTACACAAAACATGCGTGCAAAAACAAACACTGTTTCATCCATGTTTTTATCTTCTCTCTATAGGGCCAGCCAGGGGACAAGGGAGACAAGGTAATGTTCCAACATGAACCATTTTCTCACTTTTTTGTTCCATTTTGTGCTGATTTAAATATTCACAAGTGATAAAAGACAGCCATTATGTTGAACAAGCAATTATTGAAGCGCCATAAGTCTATCTTTGCAGCGGAACTGTGGTCTAACATCATGACTCAGCGCACACCTTGATTAACTTGCTAATAGTTCCTTATCAAGATAATGTGAGGAATAATGGAACGAAGCACCCTGATCAAGCCAGCCTGCAAATTGCCTATTAATGGCATGGTAGTGAAGTCACCAAGGAACTGGTCATGTGTAAGACTGCAGCTTTAAGTGCTGCTGCATCTTATCTGTCCATGCAGTTAAACACATTTAATGGTGTGCTTTCTTCTCAAGCAGTGCATAAACCTGATCTATGGTCACTGGCCTATTTAGAGCATGTGTTACAATTAGGGCTCTGTATTGACAAATGCGTTATAATAAGACACTTGTCACTATCAAGATTAGAGGCAATAGAATAACAGTTGGGCGATATATTAGGTCAATATTTGCCCTTTTTAGCGTATCGTATCTTTAGCACAGGCCGATATTTTGTTTTAACCAACCAGCTTCCTAAAGAATATGCCATCCATTTTTGCATGTTCTTTTGCTTATATAAAGAATATGCATGAAGAGGACACTGTACAAAATGTGACTCTTTTATACAGCTTGTAGTAAAAGAGGTTTGTGGGTGAGTTTGTACTAAATTCAAACAACTGGGTCAAAATAATCAATATTGACCCTACATATCAGCCAAAAAATCAGCAGTAATGATCACCCATGGGCTTCTCTAGATTCTAAACAATGGTATCGGCATCACAAAACCCATATCAGTCCATCTTTAATCAAGCTGTCACAAAATGTTAATATAATAGTTTAATTTAACAGTATCACATTTTGTTCCAATAATATTTAAGACTTTAAGACACTTTTTTTGAACACCTTCCTGACTGTTTATATTGGTTTAGTCGTCTTTTTATTCACATCTCAAAATATCTGGCACAGAGTTGTTTTGGTTCTAAATGTGCTGCTATCTTACTTGTAATAGGGCTGCCAAAATCAGATGCTAAGTTTCAGAACTAGATACTCTATTGAATAAGTGTTGATACAAAAAAACAGAACAAAATTTGACCTTTTGTGATCAGTTTTAGAATTATCTTGAGGTTTATCAGAACTGGAAAATTATCACATTGTATCATAATATTAACAATGATGCATCAGTTTTATATAGCGCTTTTCTGGACATCCAAAGACACTATACAGAGCCTCATTCACTCCACACTCAGTGGTGTTAAACTACTATTGTAGCCACAGCTACCTGACAGAAGCGAGGCTGCCAATCTGCACCATCTGACCACCTCCATTACTCACTCACGCACCACATTCATACTAGGCAATGTGGGTGAAGTGCCTTGCCTAAGGACACAACAACAGTTTTTGCATGTAGCACCCCACTGTGGCACCTGATATTCCCAGTGGTCTCCCATCCAAGTACTAACCAGGCCCAGCCGTGCTTAGCTTCTACAATCTGACGAGATCAAGCTTTTACAAGCTGTTATGGCCACAACAATAAACAAAGTACTTCTATTTTGAGTTGTTTTTTTGTTTTTTTTTATTACCATTGTGGCATTGAAATCTGTATCAAACACAAGCCTTTTCTTAAAAAATCAAGTCTGAAATGTTTGTAATATGATCCTACTTGTACAACTACACTGTAACATTATTTTTCTCCTTTGAAGGGAATGGCTGTGGTCCCGGGTCACCCAGGCAAAGAGGGCAAAAGGGTGAGTAAACAGAAACCACTTGTGGCCACTTTAATGGTTTTGAGTAGTGTGGGCCCAGCAGCTGAGCGACTTTTGTTTCTTTAGACATGTTTATTTATTTGTTTTAACACAGTCGGAGAGAAGATTATCTGTGCTTTATGCATTAGTGTCTCCTTGACGATAGCAGAATCTCTACATGCACTGGGCCACACACAGAGCATGACTGACAGCACATATGGGGAATTATGAGTGTACAGTTTTCAATTTCTTTTCAGTTTTCCTTTGACTACCTTCTGCGTGTGTGGCATTTTCATGTTCAGACGATTACTACTATTAGACCTGGTATGAGTCAACACTGAGCTATGTTTTTGATAACGTTAATTCAGAGGCGCTCATTTGCAGTGCTGTAAGTAGCAGAGAGGATGCAAATTAGTCATGGCCTGTGATTTTTAAAGGTGTTCGCGCATTAAGTAAGCTGTGTTTGACCCTCATTTGTGTAAGTGTTGGTTGCCATGACTGGGTAATATTCAGCACACCATGCCCTTGCCTTCTTGTGGTCAATTGTGTATAAACATATCACACTGTTTTAAGCATGAGGGATTATAGGGTTAAGAGTGGAAATCGTATTACAGAAGAGGGATTACATCAACATTACAGTGCTGTTAATAACACAGGAGAATGTTAAAGTGGTTTGGCTTTTCATCTCATTTGCCTTAATTCTTAAGTTTTGTTTATAAAAAAAATGCTAGAATTTTGGCGGGTGTTTGTTGTTTCGTTACAGATACCTAAAAATAACCGTCATGGCAAAATTATGTATCGTTACATTGAAAGTAAAAAGTCTTTCAAGCATATTGTACTTCATTATACTGTATATGGCACCCCTGTGGTCAAACTACAAAAGAGCGAGCATGCAGAAACTCAGTGTGGAATAGAATGACTGTTTTATTTTATTGAAAAGGCTGACATGGGAAAGTGCAGTCACCTATTAGTGAGGGGACAATGGTACAGCTGTTTGTTGTAAATTGTGGTATATTGTGTTGGAGGAGTGGTGTTTTTTAATTATGTTATGTCTTTCAACTCTGAACTATCAGTCTGTAATAACATTTTGATGATGATAAGATTAATAGAAAAATTATTTTCATGTCTTTCAACATCTGCACAAAGAGGCTTGTGTCACTGTAGTGTTGCTAATCCCATTGAGAAAACAAGGTCAGCTTTTAGCGTTTACAAGGTCACAATTATGAAAAAACAAAACAAAAAAAACCAAGCTTTAATTTTTTATCCTTATACTCTTAATTCATAGCTCTAACGGTATCAAGCTTGACCCGATAACTAGTTTCAATGTGAAAGTGTCAGATTTTTTTCAATTTTCCTGACATTTCAAAACACCTCACATGCATTGAATACTTTAGAATGTACATAAAATAACTCCTAAAACTTCTTTGTACTTCTGCAGCAAATACAAAACATATAGCTTGTATAGTGCACATAAGTAGGTCAAGTGAATATTTTCCCCTTTTACTCCGATTAAGCAAGAGTTGAGATGATGCACAGTATCGGAGACATCTGGACTCAAGTATCTCAAACATCTCCACCCTTCTGGCCGTATAGCCCCAGACAATTTATGAGCTATTATTGCTGGTATTGTTTCTCAAAGGGTCATTTCCTACAGAGCTCAGAGCCACAGTAATGTTTCAGGTGTTTTGTAGGCGAGAATCTATAATGACCAACACAAGCTCTGATGCCTGCTGCAGATGTTTTTGATGCTGTTGTCTCTCTACCTCATTAGTCAGGTTATTTTATGTTTGTCCTTTGTGAGGAAGTCAAAGACACATCATTTATGCTGCTGAATGCTTTGTAGACTTTGTCCGTGGTAATTGGTTGTGAGGAAGTGGCAAATGATTGATGTTTTTGGTGTTATATATAAATGTATATAATAAGTATGCATTTTTTCCAGTTTGTTATTCTCAGTATGTTCATATTTATTCTTCTGTTGCTCTAAAGAGAAAGTAACAAAGTATTTTCAAATTAGAGGTGCCAACCTTGACAAAAATAAAGGTTTATATTAATTTTTGCATTAAATGTTCAGACAATATTTGATCAGTGTATCAGGAACATGCTAAAATTTACATGTAAATTTCTTGTTAGAAATTATAGCACAAAATGTGAATGGACCATAAAATTACTATAAGATCACTTTATTCCCCTGTTTGGGAGATTACACTTAACACTTTCCCCCCTCTTTTTATGTTAGTTTTAATAGTTCTTAATACAGATGATACAGTCGATATTCTAATTCTCCAAAACAGCAATTGTGATTTTGTCTATTTGCCTACCCATATTTCAAATTATGTCATCGGTAAATATTTAGATTTAAGCATTGTTTTTGTACCGAATGATGTTTTAAGTTTATGTTATACAAATAAATCAGTCTAACCCATCTGTAAAATACTATTTATTTATGTTATATTCACTGCCTTTGTCAGAGACCATTTAGTTCATCTCAGAGCTTGAGGCATTTGAAGCATATAGTATTTCATTACATCAGTAAACAGCAGTGTAATGTGTATTTATACTTTTGCTATAATATGCCTATACTTCTGCTATTGTGGATATTTGTGATTTTAATTGAGTACTGCAAGATATACTTGGATATACATGCATAGGTCTACAGGCTACGTTTAAGTAGAAATTCTCAGTTGTTTTGCCTCCTTTGGTGAAGACATCTGATCTTTTAATACAGTGTCTTTGATAGCTCACTGACTGCACAGTGACAGTTAATGCGCTAAGGTTTCAGGTTATTCTTAGCTCAAGGAGTCACATGGATGCCCTGAAGCTGTTGACCAACCTACGTCTCTGCAGTCTGCCGTCCTATTCTGGGTGGGTGGACGGCGTGTATCATTACCAATGGCCCGCCAATGACCAGCTGATACAGCAAGAGGCTCTCACCTAATTAGCGGCTCTTGTATGCAGTTGCAACTTATGAGCTCCACTCAGAAACATAGTATAGCATATTTTGGACTGACCACTCTATAACTTTAAGAGAACTGCCAGCAGTAAAAAGCTTTCACATGACTTTAGTCTCAGCTTGAGCCATCTCTCCCCAGACTGTCTGCTTCAATTTATTGTTTGAGCAAAATACAACCACTCTAAGCCATTTAGATATACTTCAAGGAGACGTGGAGGACACTGTAGAAACGGGATAGAGATAGTTGTGTCATTTCCACTGATCCTCCTCGAAAGCTTAGAGCAACATATGCAAGAAAGCATATCAAGGGCAGTCACCCAACCACTGCTTTGACCCTGTGTCTAACATTCACAGAATCTTGATTTTATCTTATTACCTTGATGGATGACCGCTTCACTTTGTCAGTCCGACCATGGCGAGGAATTTATGGGGAAGTATTGCCCCCACATTGCATATAACCATTAATAGTAATGGTAACGGCTTGGTTTTATCTATTATGGATGGCATTGATACTGAATGGCTGGCAAAGAGTAGAACTTTGGGACACAGCGGGACATTACAGACAGATCAAATATGAAGATTGGGAACACCAGTAAAAAGGATATGTCCCCCTCGCTGACTGTGGTGCAGCACTAAAATATTCATCAGGTCCTGGTAATGATGTGCTAAGCTGTATGTTGTCATTATAGGCAAGAGCTAAGTTACGCAGGTCAACCTGGAAATGAGACTAAAGAGAAAGACTGCAGTTATGGGGTTAACTGATATGACCTGTAATCAATATATCAAATCCTTTATTACTTTATCTTTTATAATAATTAGTAAATGAACATTATTCATTCATCAGGTAGTAAAAGTGAAAAACTCGTCAGTCATCACTGTCTTTTACATTCTGTTGCTGTTTAAAACTATATGATGCCACATAATAACCATAATAAACATGTCAGTCAACTCCATAATTGTTATTACAACAATTGCTTGTTTTGAAAACATTGTTAGTCTATTTTTTTGTTAAAGCAGACCTATTATGCAAAATCTACTTTTCAGAACGTTTAACCATGTTACAGTCCTTTCCCCTTTTCATTAACCCCCTCAAAGTTGTATTTGAAGTGATTATTATTATTATATTGCAATTTAAAATGTGCAAATTATAATGATCCACGGGTGTCGTAGGTTACAATTATGTAGCAGACTCAAGAACAATATGTGTTCTTGGAGACAGTAGTCATTGTTTCTATCATATGCTTTATAATGATTTATTTACATAGGGCAATTCACAGATATTTAGAAGGTAATCCACAGAATGCACAAATGTCATGCCTAAGCTTTATTAAGAAAAAAAACTTCTAATTAACTAACATTTTGCAAATAAAGTCATAATGTCAAAACATAAATATTATAGGAAAAGGCTTAATTATGTAATTTTGTGAGCTAAAAACATGCTTGTTGGGCATTTTCTAGCTGTAATACACAGAATCAGCAGAGGAGGCATGTTTCATTTATGCTGTGCCAAGTCTTTACAGCTTTTAGGTTGGCACAAGGTTAGCAGTGGGTTCAGCGCAGACAGGGGCCCATCCAGGCAAGGTAATGTCAGTATATTTTCATGGATTAACGAATAATCTTTTTAACAGGCTACCTCCAGAATATGTAATCCAGGGCTAATACTAAGACATACTTGCCATATGAATACACCTATTCTAAAGTAAATACAGTGGATCTGACACATGTTTCTAGTTTGCTGTAGAAATATGCATGGATATGGTTCTAGTCTTGTGATAAAGGGCATTCATTATTCAGATTCCTTCTCTTTCGCCCATTGTAAATAATGGGAATGTACATCTTTTCAAATAGTCTTTAATCAGTACAGGGATGTGGTGTGTCAGATGTGCCTCTCATGTTTGTTCTTATTATACAGTGCAATGTTCAAGTCGAGATGATGAAACTCCAGCTTCAGGAAGAACTGTGTCTGTGGAAGCAAATGAATTATGCAACACAGAGCCCCTTACCCATTTATTTATACATATTCTGTTATCGGGGTGGTTATTAAGTTATTTTA